ATGTTTTTGGCTGTGGTAGAGTATGTATTTCGACTAACAGGCTGGTTTTGACGATGTATTGGATGTTTTTGGCTGTGGTAGAGTATGTATGTCGACTGATGGGCTGGTTTTGACGATGTATTGGATGTTTTTGGCTGTGGTAGAGTATTATGACTGATGTTTTGGATGTTTTGTTTTTGGCTGTGGTAGAGTATGTATTTCGGCTGACAGGCTGGTTTTGACGATGTATTGGATGTTTTGGGCTGTGGTAGAGTATGTATGTCGACTGATGGGCTGGTTTTGAAGATGTATTGGATGTTTTTGGCTGTGGTAGAGTATGTATGTCGACTGACAGGCTGGTTTTGACGATGTATTGGATGTTTTGGGCTGTGGTAGAGTATGTATGTCGACTGATGGGCTGGTTTTGACGATGTATTGGATGTTTTTGGCTGTGGTAGAGTATGTATGTCGACTGATGGGCTGGTTTTGACGATGTATTGGATGTTTTTGGCTGTGGTAGAGTATGTATGTCGACTGACAGGCTGGTTTTGACGATGTATTGGATGTGTTTGGCTGTGGTAGAGTATGTATGTCGACTGATGGGCTGGTTTTGACGATGTATTGGATGTGTTTGGCTGTGGTAGAGTATGTATGTCGACTGATGGGCTGGTTTTGAAGATGTATTGGATGTGTTTGGCTGTGGTAGAGTATGTATGTCGACTGACAGGCTGGTTTTGACGATGTATAGGATGTGTTTGGCTGTGGTAGAGTATGTATGTCGACTGATGGGCTGGTTTTGACGATGTATTGGATGTTGTTGGCTGTGGTAGAGTATGTATTTCGACTTACATGTTGGTTTTGATGACATCGGTGATGTTTTTGGCTGTGGTAGAGTATGTATTTCGACTAACAGGCTGGTTTTGACGATGTATTGGATGTTTTTGGCTGTGGTAGAGTATGTATTTCGACTGATGGGCTGGTTTTGATGACATCGTTGATGTTTTTGGCTGTGGTAGAGTATGTATTTCGACTGATGGGCTGGTTTTGATGACATCTTCGATGTGTTTAGCTGTGGTAGAGTATGTATTTCGACTGACAGGCTGGTTTTGACGATGTATTGGATGTTTTTGGCTGTGGTAGAGTATGTATTTCGACTTACAGGTTGGTTTTGATGACATCGGTAATGTTTTTGGCTGTGGTAGAGTATGTATTTCGACTGATTGGCTGGTTTTGACAATGTATAGGATGTTTTGGGCTGTGGTAGAGTAAGTATTTCGACTGACAGGCTGGTTTTGACGATGTATTGGATGTTGTTGGCTGTGGTAGAGTATGTATTTCGACTGATTGGCTGGTTTTGACAATGTATTGGATGTTTTGGGCTGTGGTAGAGTAAGTATTTCGACTGATGGGCTGGTTTTGACGATGTATTGGATGTTTTGGGCTGTGGTAGAGTATGTATGTCGACTGATGGGCTGGTTTTGACGATGTATTGGATGTTTTGGGCTGTGGTAGAGTAAGTATTTCGACTGATGGGCTGGTTTTGACGATGTATTGGATGTTTTGGGCTGTGGTAGAGTATGTATTTCGACTGATGGGCTGGTTTTGACAATGTATAGGATGTTTTGGGCTGTGGTAGAGTAAGTATTTCGACTGACAGGTTGGTTTTGAAGATGTATTGGATGTTTTGGGCTGTGGTAGAGTATGTATGTCGACTGATGGGCTGGTTTTGACAATGTATAGGATGTTTTTGGCTGTGGTAGAGTAAGTATTTCGACTGATGGGCTGGTTTTGACGATGTATTGGATGTTTTGGGCTGTGGTAGAGTATGTATTTCGACTAACAGGCTGGTTTTGATGATATCTTTGATGTGTTTGGCTGTGTTAGAGTATGTATTTCGACTGACGGTCTGGTTTTGATGATATCTTTGGTGTATTTGACTGTGGTAGAGTATGTAATTTGACTGATGGGCTGGTTTTGATGACTTTAATGAGGTTTTTGGCTGTGGTAGAATAAGTATTTCGATGTTATTTGCTGCTAATTGCTGTTGTTTGTTTGCTGGTATTTTGTGGTTGTTCGTGCTGATTGTTCTTCGTTGTTGTTTGCTATTGAGATCCTGGCGTTTGTTGCTGTTTTGCTGTCGTTTGCTAATGTTTTGTGGTTGTTTGTTTGCCGTTTGTTGCTGTTTGCTGCTGTTTAATTGCTGTTTAACCTATTTAGAGGAACATGCGTCATTTCTACCATGTTGTTTAATTGCTGTTTGCTGCTGTTTTAACCTATTTAGAGGAACATGCGTCATTTCTACCATGTTGTTTAATTGCTGTTTGCTGCTGTTTTAACCTATTTAGAGAAACATGCGTCATTTCTACCATGTTGTTTAATTGCTGTTTGCTGTTGTTTGCTGCTGTTTTAACCTATTTAGAGGAACATGCGTCATTTCTACCATGTTGTTTAATTCTGTGTCTACGATGCTTGCCTCCGTTCGTTCTCTTAGCAAATTTTACTTGAGGTGGAAACAGAGAAAAGATTTGGTTTTTGCGATAGTGAGTATTCAGACGAAGAATGATTATTGCAATGTGTTAAATGACATTGACCATGATAGTTACCGTGGATTATTGATTTTGGAAATATTTACCAAAGACTACTGTGACGTATAAAGGACATATTCATTTCTAAAACAATTTAAGATATTAGTAGCACATAATTGCATAAAGAGAAGGTGTTTGTCAGTCGTAGGAGAAAATGTTGTCAAGAAATCAAGAAGATTACCTGAGGAAGATTTGATCCTGAGCACATTTAAGGATTAACGGGTCCCTCCAGGTTGTTTGAAGGCTTGAAAAGGGAAAGTAACTATAAGATCGTCGATTGGCTACAAAACCAAGATCACTACAGAGTTCGAAGACAAGTGAGAAACAAGACCCTTTTCGTGAAAACCCCTTTAATCGGCGTTGACTACACTTCGGATGGAGATTTGGTCGACATGTCTAACATCTAGTAGCATAATGACGGTGTGTGCTTTTTACTCGTTGTCACCGATCATTTTTCCTGGTATGCTTGGGTAAAGCCTCTTAAATCAAGAAAGCCAACACCGTTTTGGAAGTTTTCAAAGAAATATTTGCCGAAAGAAAACGAGATGTCCGATCGGACCACGGAAAAAAAGTTTAAATGCTATTGTTAATTCATAGGCGTTTCGCACATAGCGAGAGTGTGGATCTGAGATGTCTGTTTGAAAGTGTGTATGTTAGGTGTCCATTTGAGAGTGTGTATCTGAAATGTCCGTTTGAGAGTGTGTATCTGAGATGTCCGTTTGAGTTTGTTTATCTGAGGTGTCCGTTTGAGAGTGTGTATCTAAGGTGTTGATTTGAGAGTGTGTATCTGAGGTGTCCGTTTGAGTGTGTATCTGAGGTGTTCGTTTAAGAGTGTGTATCGAAGGTGTCCATTTGAGAGTGTATCTGAGATGTCCATTTGAGAGTGTGTATCTGAGGTGTCCGTTTGAGTGTGTAACTGAGGTGTCCGTTTAAGAGTGTGTATCTAAGGTGTCCATTTGAGAGTGTATCTGTCCGTTTTAGAATGTGTATCTAAGGTGTCCGTTTGAGTGTGTATCTGAAGTGTCCGTTTAAGAGTGTGTATCTAATGTGTCCATTTGAGAGTGTGTATCTGAGATGCCCGTTTGAGTTTGTATATCTGAGGTGTCCGTTTGAGAGTGTGTATCTAAGGTGTTGATTTGAGAGTGTGTATCTGAGATGTCCGTTTAAGAGTGTGTATCTGAGATGTCCGTTTAAGAGTGTGTATCTGAGGTGTCCGTTTGAGTTTGTTTATCTGAGGTGTCCGTTTGAGAGTGTGTATCTAAGGTGTTGATTTGAAAGTGTGTATCTGAGGTGTCCGTTTGAGTGTGTAACTGAGGTGTCCGTTTAAGAGTGTGTATCTAAGGTGTCCATTTGAGAGTGTATCTGAGATGTCCGTTTGAGAATGTGTATCTAAGGTGTCCGTTTGAGTGTGTATCTGAAGTGTCCGTTTAAGAGTGTGTATCTAATGTGTCCATTTGAGTGTATCTGAGATGCCCGTTTGAGTTTGTATATCTGAGGTGTCCGTTTGAGAGTGTGTATCTAAGGTGTCCATTTGAGAGTGTGTATCTGAGATGTCCATTTGAGAATGTGTATCTAAGGTGTCCATTTGAGAGTGTATCTGAGATGTCCGTTTGAGAATGTGTATCTAAGGTGTCCGTTTGAGTGTGTATCTGAAGTGTCCGTTTAAGAGTGTGTATCTAATGTGTCCATTTGAGTGTATCTGAGATGCCCGTTTGAGTTTGTATATCTGAGGTGTCCGTTTGAGAGTGTGTATCTAAGGTGTCCATTTGAGAGTGTGTATCTGAGATGTCCATTTGAGAATGTGTATCTAAGGTGTCCATTTGAGAGTGTGTATGTTAGGTGTTCATTTGAGAGTGTGTATCTGAGGTGTCCGTTTGAGAGTGTGGATCTGAGATGTCCATTTGAGAGTGTGGTCTGAGATGTCCATTTGAGAGTGTGTATCTGAGGTGTTCATTATCGATATGAAAAATTTGTGAAAAATTTAGGTTTGAAACTGGACAGTTTTAGAGCATTTTTGTATAATTATTGTTGTTTTTTAAGTTTTGCATTTATTTAACTGGTTTGGAGTCTGTTTGTTAAATTGGCACCTTATACACTTATGTGTCTGAAACGAATCGATTTGAAATGTAAGTATGTATGTATCAGTACGCGATGTAATTTTGAAATAATGCTGATATTTGATTTTGTGTGTTCTGACTTTGATTGATTCTTTCTTAACGAATGTAACTGAATTTTTAAGGACATTCATCAAAATTAATTTCCAGTAGTCTGTGTTATATCCACTGTTTTACCCCCTGCATTGCTTAGAAAAACATTGGATACAGTAAATATTTAATAAGGATGGAGCGTGATAGGGTTCTAACCTATCACAGTTACCATCTACCTGTAGACCTTATAACCAGCGCTGCCCGATCGATCTGTTTGAACTAACCAGCAGCACTGAATGCCGAACTGAGGAACGATAGGCGTCTCACAAATGCCGAACACTGACTCCGTTCACTTTGACAACTGCCTGTAAGATGTGACCGCGGAGAAAAAAGCATGGAATATGTGAATGAATATTCAGTGTCCTTATTGGTGACTTCGTTGTACGTAAAATTGTGGGACAGGATGAGTAATGACATCTGTGTATGTAAACGTTATCTATGTTTATCTCTAACTATCTATCTATACACATATATAATTGTTTAATGTATGTACCCTCTTCATCAGATGCGTAGGTCACGTGACCTTCGATGTCATTCTCTCCGAATAGTCCCGAGGTACATGCATCGATAAGTGAGATTAAATTTGTAAGTAAATATATGCCTTACCTACTGACCGCTTCACCACGGTAATGATATGTGTACCGAGTGCAGTGTTATTATCTTGTCGTCTAAAATTGGTTAAAACCGACTATAGACCAGAACTTCATTGAGATCGCACGAGTGGTCAGTAAAGCCTATAACGATCAAACCAGCATGTGAATTATTGATAGAAAGGCAAATCAGAAGTGACCATTACCTACCAAGGGAATACTATGGATACGGACTGGGTTGAGCAGGCGACACGAAAAAGACATTCAAAATTGTGGTATTTGAAGGCAAAAAGAAAGACGAAGTTTCAGGTTTTAGGGTTTATCGTATCAACCTATGTTTGTTTCCTAGTTCTAGCAGTAGTTCGCAAAGCTGTATATCATGACGGGATCAGCTCATTAAGTCGAGAATCAGGACCCGGAAGATACAGAAGAGATTTAACAGATGTGGGAGATGGTAAGTTGATCGCTGTATAATCATGCATTGTTGATTGCGTAACTTGTTCGTGGTAAATAACAATGTCATTCTGTAATACGTATTACTGTAGTGCCTTCAATGATGAATGCTTGTCTCTCGTTTATAAACATTCTATTGTAAATATTGGTGTCGAGTTAGAATGATAATCGAATATCTCCTTATGATCTTAGTACATTTTACTGTGTGATCAATGTTAACAGCTAACAGTTAATTGGCATTACACCCTTGATAAATGTAAACATTTGACAATAAATTCATTTTACTGTGTGATCAATGTCAACAGCTAACAGTAAATTAACTTTAACCCTTGATAAATGTCAACATTTGACAATAAATTCATTTTACTGTGTGATCAATGTCAACAGCTAACAGTAAATTTACTTTAACCCTTGATAAATGTAAACATTTGACAATAAATTCATTTTCCTGTTGATCAATGTCAACAGCTAACAGTTAATTGGCATTACACCCTTGATAAATGTAAACATTTGACAATAAATTCATTTTACTGTGTGATCAATGTTAACAGCTAACAGTAAATTTACTTTAACCCTTGATAAATGTCAACATTTGACAATAAATTCATTTTACTGTGCGATCAATGTCAACAGCTAACAGTAAATTTACTTTAACCCTTGATAAATGTCAACATTTGACAATAAATTCATTTTACTGTGCGATCAATGTCAACAGCTAACAGTTAATTGGCATTACACCCTTGATAAATGTAAACATTTGACAATAAATTCATTTTACTGTGTGATCAATGTCAACAGCTAACAGTTAATTGGCATTACACCCTTGATAAATGTAAACATTTGACAATAAATTCATTTTACTGTGTGATCAATGTTAACAGCTAACAGTAAATTTACTTTAACCCTTGATAAATGTCAACATTTGACAATAAATTCATTTTACTGTGCGATCAATGTCAACAGCTAACAGTTAATTGGCATTACACCCTTGATAAATGTAAACATTTGACAATAAATTCATTTTACTGTGTGATCAATGTCAACAGCTAACAGTTAATTGGCATTATGTAAACATTTGACAATAAATTCATTTTACTGTGTGAAATGTTAACAGCTAACAGTAAATTTACTTTAACCCTTGATAAATGTCAACATTTGACAATAAATTCATTTTACTGATAAAGCTAACAGTAAATTTACTTTAACCCTTGATAAATGTCAACATTTGACAATAAATTCATTTTACTGTGCGATCAATGTCAACAGCATTTGACATAAATAAACATTCATTTTTTTACTGTGTGATCAATGTTAACAGCTAACAGTAAATTTACTTTGACCCTTGATAAATGTCAATAGTTGATGGTAATTTTTTCTACGAGACCATTGTCAATAGTAAATTCAGTTTAGCCTATGGTATATGTTGATGCTGAAAATAGTCACTCGCTGGTATGTTTGATGGTAGGACATCGACGAAAGCCTTAGAACACAATACAGAAAGACTATCACATAACCATTAAGTTCCTTCAATTTGTATTGTTTGTTTATATATGAAATAGTGTTTTCTAGTACGGGTAACTCGAGGTAGCATCAGATGTCTGTTCGTTGGAATTTATTATACTGAAGTTAGTACCACTTTAACATTAACGCTATGACTGTTTGATTCAAATAAATTCTTAACTTATACATGCATGTAACCAGCCCAGCGTATTCTTCACTTTCAACCGTTTTAACGAAGTGTTAAACCGTCCCTATTTCATATTTGTGAAACATCACTGAAAGAAATTTGTATTTTGTAGTGAAATAATAATTCTGGGAGAGAGTTATTAAAAAATTCACATAATCCGGAACAATAACATCGGATAGATCGTAAATAAGTACATAATGATATAAATGATGTACAAAGTCGGTAATGTGTCGGTAGTTAGATACAAAGTATTATCTACTGTATATATGTATAATGATGATACGAGGTGATAATTCGTTACGATAATACCTATAACACTTATATATACTCTGATGATTACACGTACAAGTGATAATATGTAATAGAACTTAATCAATAGAGTACTAATTTTAAAAATAGTGGTGTACTAATATGTTTCTTCCGTTGTTGACAAGTCCAGCTGTAAGAGTTTTATTATTTAACCCAACTGTATCGTTGTCTATATTTTTATCTTGACGTGCCATTTAATTACTTGTTTTCAATAGTAGATGATTTTGTTAACGATTCATAAACATATCTCTCTCACCCGTGAGTGTAGTAGATAGTATCGCTGTACTTCTGTGTACGACCTACCTGTACATATGCACACTTTACCTACTAAATACTTGGCTGGTGCATTATAACGTCCAACATTGCAACTCTCCTGGTGCACATGTTTACATTCCTCCGGTACATAGTGCACACACAGATATAGTAAACAAAGGCAGATAATGCTAGGAACATACAATACCTTGGGGTATAGCACGCAGATAATAATTATGGATATAATAACGTATATCCAATAAATGATAGGACAATCATGTGAAAAAAGGATATCACACACGATCCGCCTGATATTCAGTGAATTCAGTTAAACGTGTTTGCATAGATATTACTTGTATGATATACCCTGAAACGTTTCGATTGAATGCACCAGTCAGCAATTAATGGTGACGTCATATGGACAATGACGCTACGTCATGAACTAAATACAGCACAACAAAATGTTCATCTCAGGTTTTCCCTCTTATTTTTACCTTAACAGCTGTCAATGTAACTTTTCTGAGTTGTGTGATAAAGAAAGAGTATCTTAAATTTGTTTTCATTTATTAAAAAAGATTTGTTTTGAAACTCTTCTCCAGTATCAATTCGCTTAGGCTCGCAAAATAATGAGGAAAAAACCTTCTAATGATCCTTTTATTAAATCTTAAATGAAAAGAAGCATATTTCAGACTCTATAAAATACTTTAGTACATAATGATGATACAAGATATGATATCAAAGGCCTAATTAAGGATAGAAAATCCATCAACCGTTGTATCAAAAATTGTACTCAACAGAGACAGCTACTTGAACGCGGACATACTGCAGTTTGAACGATATACGTCATTATCGTTGTCTTTTGCTTGCGTCACTAATCGATTTTGTATGATAGATGGGGATCAAAGTCCGAATAAATTCATTTAGTAGGGACCAATGCTTAGGAGTACATATCAGTGTTACTTTACCGTAAATAATGTACAGATGTTATCACGTACTGATCATATCTACATATCAGTATGATTTTACCGTAAATAATGTACAGATGTTATCACGTACTGATCATATCTACATATCAGTATGATTTTACCGTAAATAATGTACAGATGTTCTCATGTACCAATCATAATTACATATCAGTGTTACTTTACCGTAAATAATGTACAGATGTTCTCATGTACCAATCATAATTACATATCAGTGTTACTTTACCGTAAATAATGTACAGATGTTCTCACGTACTGTCATATCTACATATCATATTACTTTACCGTAAATAATGTACAGATGTTCTCATGTACCAATCATAATTACATATCAGTGTTACTTTACCGTAAATAATGTACAGATGTTCTCATGTACCAATCATAATTACATATCAGTGTTACTTTACCGTAAATAATGTACAGATGTTCTCATGTACCAATCATAATTACATATCAGTGTTACTTTACCGTAAATAATGTACAGATGTTATCACGTACTGATCATATCTACATATCAGTATTACTTTACCGTAAATAATGTACAGATGTTCTCATGTACCAATCATAATTACATATCAGTGTTACTTTACCGTAAATAATGTACAGATGTTATCACGTACTGATCATATCTACATATCAGTGTTACTTTACCGTAAATAATGTACAGATGTTATCACGTACTGATCATATCTACATATCAGTGTTACTTTACCGTAAATAATGTACAGATGTTATCACGTACTGTTATCTACATATCAGTGTTACTTTACCGTAAATAATGTACAGATGTTATCACGTACTGATCATATCTACATATCAGTATTACTTTACCGTAAATAATGTACAGATGTTATCATGTACTAATCATGATTACATATCAGTGTTACTTTACCGTAAATAATGTACAGATGTTATCACGTACTGATCATATCTACATATCAGTATTACTTTACCGTAAATAATGTACAGATGTTCTCATGTACCAATCATAATTACATATCAGTGTTACTTTACCGTAAATAATGTACAGATGTTATCACGTACTGATCATATCTACATATCAGTATGACTTTACCGTAAATAATGTACAGATGTTATCACGTACTGATCATATCTACATATCAGTGTTACTTTACCGTAAATAATGTACAGATGTTATCACGTACTGATCATATCTACATATCAGTGTTACTTTACCGTAAATAATGTACAGATGTTATCACGTACTGATCATATCTACATATCAGTATTACTTTACCGTAAATAATGTACAGATGTTATCATGTACCAATCATAATTACATATCAGTGTTACTTTACCGTAAATAATGTACAGATGTTATCACGTACTGATCATATCTACATATCAGTATTACTTTACCGTAACTCATGTACAGATGTTATCATGTACCAATCATAATTACATATCAGTGTTACTTTACCGTAAATAATGTACAGATGTTATCACGTACTGATCATATCTACATATCAGTGTTACTTTACCGTAAATAATGTACAGATGTTATCACGTACTGATCATATCTACATATCAGTATTACTTTACCGTAAATAATGTACAGATGTTATCATGTACCAATCATAATTACATATAAGTTTTACTTTACCGTAAATAATGTATAGATGTTATCACGTACTGATCATATCTACATATCAGTATTACTTTACCGTAAATAATGTACAGATGTTATCATGTACTAATCATGATTACATATCAGTATTACTTTACCGTAAATAATGTACAGATGTTATC